GTCATATCTCTAGCATCTTTTAGCAAAGACATGTTAACACGGGTAGAAGTCCGTGTCTGAAAAACGTCGACTGCTTAACCTTCCTATTTCGCGCCAAGAACGAAGGCGTCGATCCAGTCTTACGCGGCTTCTCTGCCGTTCGTGTTGTCAAGAACGTCTGGTGCTTAAGCTCTCTAATGACGAATGAGGCGAACGGGGTTTGTGGTTGTCACGGAAACAGCTGCCTAGTTCCCGCCATTTTTTTTGTTTTGTCTTGCGTGTGTTCCTACTTTTCTGCTCGTTTCCACTAACTGAAAGCCTTACCCTTACGTGCCAATAGGCGCTAATTATTTCCTTGGGAGCCTGGAAGGGGACAAGAGCCTTCTTGGGTACGCTAACCTTTGTTCGTAATTTCCCTCTCGTGCTTCAACCAAACCAAACACTATTTACCCCTCGTCAGAAAAAAAGGGCAGCTAATTAGTGAGGAAATGAAAGGACCTCTTGTTTCAACGATTAGATCGTTCCTGATAAAGGCACTCGATAGGAATGTCAAAACATTGGGTCTACCGATTGTAAATCCCCAGTTACATTCATTAAATCCTTACACCAGAGTAGCATCAAACCATGTCTGATTGTCCACTTGCAATTGGTTGCTTTGTGAACTTTAATATATCAAATCAAGAACCGATAGAAGGTAAGTATAACCAGGGACCCGTTTCTCTAAAGCACCGGTAACTTTACGGCCCAATGTAATATTCCTGAATCTCATACTACCGAACAATACCAGTCTTTGTTCAAACACCAGTCCATCCTATTTCTTTTCCTGGCATCTTCATTGTTTGAATTTAAAGTCTGTCAAATTCTCAATCTTGAATCTAAAAACAAAAATCTGCTTTTCAGGCCTGTTTAGTTACCGGGTCTTTCAAGGAACGGGCTCCAGGATGTCTTTTCCCTAGTATCATCTTTGAACGAACTCAGGTCAAGAGATTTGAAACAAGAGAACTTAAATATATAATGGGTGACTGAATCAAACTTTTAACTGGTAAACATAAAGCATCACTCGTTTATGATTCTTACTTTACAAACGGCATAACCATGTAGAAAGCATTTGGATTTAGTCCCAGGATCTCTCGGCTAACAGTGTCTTTCTTGTGAGTGGGAAGATTGCTTACGTAAAACCACTGTATATCCTGAAGAAATAGAAATACAACACTTATTTGCCGTAGTTCTTATACTTGTAAATCACAGAAAAGTTTGGTCGCAACAGTGCAGTGTAAATTGAAATTTGCTCAGTAATGTTTAAAGCTGAGCTATAAAACAAGTCTCAGTAAAAAGGATTTTAATTCACCCCAATCTCCCCTCTTGTGTGTGGCCGGAACACTGTTTTCTCAGGGACTCCAGGGACAATGTACAATCTAACCTGTTAAGTTTGAGAGAGGGTCAGATTGTCAGTAAGAATGTTTAACTAAATTATCACTTAATTGATTTTCTGATTAATTGATTTATAGCTTTTAAAATTGTCTGATTGAGATACTGACTTACTATCTATCTACCGGTACCTTTCTGAATGACTGAAAGAATGGATGGCTTGACTGACTGACTGGCTGAATGACTGGCTGACTGGGTGACTAACAGCTGGCTGGCTGACTGATTGACTGACTGGCTGACTGACTGACTAACTGGCTGACTGGCTAAATGACTGGCTGACTGGGTGACTAACAACTGGCTGGCTGACTGATTGACTGACTGGCTGACTGATTGACCAATCAACTGACTAATGGTTGAATGGTAAGATAAAGGGAATGCTGGGTGAACTGGCACATTGACTGACAGTTTTCTTACTGAACCTCATTCCCTAAATCCATTCAAGACAAAAAATGTGCCAATTTATTGCATGTTTAAGTGCATATATATCAATCTCCATCAACTTGTTTACAGTCACAATAACATTTACAAGCTTCTGAGATTACTTTTCAAGAAAATGTACCTGATGATCCTGGAATTTGTGTTCAAAATAATTGTCTGGGTCTGCATAAAATCTCATATCAAATCCAGTCTCTTCTAATACCTACGGGAACATTGTTCAAAGAAAATCATGGATTATCCATCTTTTGTTACGTATGGTATGATGGCCAACAACCATCAAACTTGCAAAAGTTTACTCACCTCCCTAACTGCACAATCAAATGCTGATTCATCTTTGTTAACCTTTCCTTTTGGAAAACCCCAACTTGTGCGTGATAGAAAAGGTTGCACTAATACACACTTGAAGAAGAGGAAAAAAGTTTAGGTGATGTCACAGGCACCTTAAGAAAATCTAAAACTAAGTCAGCTCCATTTGTATGGTTTATAACATATTACGTTGCATCGTTCTTTAACAACTGTGAAGAATGCCATTTTTGTTGACTTGTTAAAGTAAACACCAGTTTAATTCTCCTAGTTGTGAAAGAAGTATAATTATCCTTAAAGTGGAAAAAAATCTTTTTGAAATAGTTTTAGAATTAAGATACCCAGCACTGTTTGTATGAAACGTCTCACCAATAAAAAAGTGCACAAGTTTGACCATTAAGAGAAAAAAAAAGAAAATCTGGAAACATGAAAGGACTTTCAAGTATAGCAAGCCACGGTGGCACTGTGCTGATTCTTATAATACAACAAATTTAACTTGCCACCCTTTGATCCCAGAGAGTGACTGGCTTAAAAATGTCTCCTTAAAAAAATATCATCCCTGTATCAAACAGTGGGGTTAAGAGAATGATGGAAATGATCATCTTTCAAAGAAATTCTTGATTGTTTTGCAAATTCTCCTGGTCAGCTCCTAAAAAAATGTGCGGAGAAAAGTACCGGGAATATGCATTCTGATGTTAGGCTGTAAAGGGTGAAAAAAAAAATGGATTTTACCTTCTCCAAGGATTGATTCAACATTATTGCTCCATAGACTGGAACACTGTGCTTGTACTTTTTCCAGTTCTCAAAAATTCTGTTGATATTTTCCCCAGTTTTATTGAGAAATGGAAACTGCTCAAATAGTGACCATGTTAAGGAACATAAACGTTGTGGAAAGGTACATAGAAAGCTGCCAGTTAGAAAATTAGCTTAAAATAAGCTTCTTCTGATAAAACATTACAAACTATTACATCTGGCCTCTCTTGAAATAGTCAGAAGAGTGTCTGCCACTGGTTGAACTATTTATATGGATTTTTAAATAAACAATTTGCATCTGTGAGACTTGTGAGAGAGATTTGTTAGATTTAATAGTAGATTGCTGTTTATATCTTGTTTCTAAATCAGTAATGGCATCGACGACGCGTAACCCCAAAACCTGGATATCGAAAGCTCACCACTATCTTTAACGAAGAGGAAATATCGAAAAGTTCGCATTGTAGTTCATAAATAACATTAGTTTGCGATACTAACAGTTTAAAAAAGGATATTAATTCTCGTAAAATCCTTAAGACCACAGGCTGGGAGATCTGGTTGTTCCTGTCGATAGAAATCGACGTAAAACCAATGTGCTGTCTCGATCTGAAAGCACAACCGAACGACATCTTTCCTTTCCTCTTCCGGTATGTTAATTAAGAAACGGCTTTTGAAAGAAAGAATAAAGTCGTTGTTAGCAAAAACAGGGCATCAAACCAAAATGAAAATATATTTTTGAGCTCACCTGCATAAATCCTCTAAAATTGTTTGTGGAATAATTGAATTGAAAGGTATGTAAGGAGAGTCAGCTTCCACGTCTTGATCGGACGCCATCTTAAAAACAACCAGCCTCGTTATCGCGAGGTGGGGCGGAAGAGAGCAGGAGAAACTGGGCAAGAACTTAGTAGCCACGCTCCAGGCAGTATGGCGGAAAAGTTGTGAAGTGCTTGTATATCACGCATCAATACAGTCACGGCATGGCTTACGGCTTTAAACTTCTCGTTTTGTTTTGTTTCATCTCATTTCTATATGGTGTTGGAATTTTCTTTTTCACTCGTGGGTTTCTTTTAAATCGACTGATTATCAATGAGTTGAGTGGCTGTTCTGAAGCTCCACATGTCACTCTCTTGTCGGATCATAAACTGTCACATACAGAGGAAACTGAAGGCTGCTGGATGAAGAGGACGCACACAAAAGCCGTGGTCCTCATAATTGATGCTCTACGCTATGATTTTGCGCTGTACAACACAAGCCTGGACGATGCGTTGCCTTACCAGAATAAATTAAAAGTCATCCATGAAGTGTTACTGAGCTCTCCTCGACATGGAGCTCTATTCAAATTTGTAGCTGACCCACCAACTACCACTATGCAGCGATTGAAAGCACTCACTACCGGTAAGAAATTCTTTCCACCTGATTCGTGTGGTTTTCCCACAAGTTATATGCTTATATATAATCAGCTTCTCTCCTCTAAGAACTTCTACATCTGCGACCAACTTGTAATTTTTCTTCACCTTCTGTACCGTAGCTATGCATAAAGTTGAGCAGAAAGGCGATAATTTATTAAGAAAGTTACCAACTAGAATTTCCTGGTCGATTTAAAATCAAATTCCTAGAACTAACTAATTTTGCCCTATATATTAGAGAGAAACCGAGGGTAGACGCACATTTGCAGTATCAGCTTCAAGACTCTGGAATAATGTACCCTTATCTACTAGGAAAGTGGATTCTGTAGCCTGTTTTAAACATATTATGTGGAGTAAGTTTTTTAGGGACCAGCAATTTTTACACCATTTTCATATTTAGTGATCGAGTTTTATATGAAAATCGCATGTTTTTTTGATGATTTTAAGTGTTCTTCTATTTTTAACTTGTAATTAGTTTATTAAATCAGGGCCACAAATTTATTAGCCTGTGGCTATTACATGCTACCCTTTATAAATAAAGTCTTTATTATTATTATTATTATTATTATTATTATTATTATTATTATTATAACATAGTAAAGAATGTATACCAGACAGTACAGAGTATTGTTGTTGGGATCTTTGGGAGAAATAGGGGTTAAATCATGAAGTAGGGATGTTTTTGCAGTTCTCTTTTTCTTGTACATCCAGTTTTTTCTACATCTAGCTTTACCCATCTATCTAGTAGTTGCTTTGATTTGATGCTTTTGGTATAGTGGCCAACAGGTATTTAAAAAGAAGGAAAAAAAACTAATTAACATTTTCTCAAATGAAAGGTTCATGAATTTTTAGTTAATACTTGCTTTCATTTCAACAGGAAGTTTACCCACTTTTGTGGATGCAGGAAGTAATTTTGCCAGCTCAAATATCACAGAAGAAAATATCATCTCACAGCTGACTTCTTTGAAGAAGAAAATAACTTTCATGGGGGATGACACTTGGGGAAGTCTATTCCCTGACTCATTCCACAAGTCCTTTCCATTCCCATCATTTAATGTCATGGATCTTCATACAGTGGACAATGGTGTAATTGAGCACTTGGTTCCAGAATTGAAGGCAAATGACTGGGATGTTCTTATTGGTCACTTTCTTGGAGTTGATCACTGTGGGCACAGATTTGGTCCGAATCATCCTGAAATGGCCTCTAAACTCACACAGATGGATTCTGTGCTACGGTATTCACATCATTTTGTGACACAATAATATATTTTTAACTTATCACAGATAATGTCTTCCTTATCAGATGATAACAGGTGAAATTTACCATATGTGTAAGCAAGTGTTACCACCTGCAACCTCGTCACATTTCTGAAAATTCCTCAGACAGATAGATTTGAACATCAAAAAAGTGGCTTTTTCTTTTGTGCTCAAAATTAAGGAGAACATTGCTTTCTATTTGATTTTGTTCTCTTTATTAAGAGTAAACTACATGTCCAGCATACAGTGCAGATATTTCATCTTGTACAGAAGCAATGAGAGGGAAATTTTATTTAACAATTTTTTACATTTTTCATATCTTGTGGACAAAAATTTTCAAATTTCAGCATACTTTGAAAATTCTAATGAAAAAAAAGTTTTGAATTTTTGTGCCTACCTCTACATTATTGTAGCCCAGACTTGATTCCCAAACTTGGAGACAGAGTTTGAGAATAACCACATTATGGGTTTCAGGTGCTAAATACAATAAGTACCAATATAAAGGTATCATTAGAATTTTATTTGATTACTTTTGCCATAATTAGCTGCTGGTAATAACTGCACTGAATCTAGTTGATTAAAATAACTCTGTTATAATTAGTCTCTCACATGTAGAAACTGTTTAAGTGCAATGAAAGGATATATAGTAGGTCGATGAATAAGTTACAGGACTTGTATACCAATACTTGCGACTGAGCACAAACTGAAATCCAGATCTTCCAACATTACATTTTTTACTTACATGGTATGCTATTGTGTCTGTTCTTATACAGGTCTGTAATGGAGATTCTTGATGATGATACAATATTGTTTGTGATGGGTGATCATGGCATGACCCGTACTGGTGACCATGGTGGTGACAGTGATGATGAGGTGGATGCGGCACTTTTCATTTATTCGACGAAACCCATAGCTGCATGTAAAATGAAAAAGGTAAGGAAAGGAGTGCTACACTCTGTAATGGACAAATACATGTTATTCTTGACTTTGTTTTCTCTACCCTTGTAGTATTGAAAATCAAAAAACTGACATTTTCTTAAATCGCAAAGGACTTTCTTTTATCATACAGTAAGTCTATGGAACAGTTTAGATAATACTCCCAAACTCTGTAATTCTTTTTGTGATTTTAAGCGTAAACATAGAGTCAAATTACTTGCTGCTTTCCTTTCTCATCGCTCTTAGTTGTAACTTTGGCGAACATTTATTAACATTTTAGCTTCCTTAATTTTTCTGTTTTTCATTTTAGTATTGTAATTTTGTAATTTTTAGATCATTGTCACCGAAAAACCCTCTTTAGGGAGTGTCAATAAAGTTTGTATTGTATTGTATTGTACCATATTTCTTTGACCAGAAGTGGTAAAGACAGTGGAAAATCTTGGTTGATTTTGTCAACTTTTTACACCCTAACATCAGTATGCATTGTTTTGAGTCTGTTCTCCTTTGATTTCTGAAGATGTAATTGTTGTGACCCTACATGTTTGAGTCAGGGGTGAATTGTTATGGAGAAATGACCATCAGATACCAGTCACTCCGGGGGGTTAAAAAGTTAAAATAGCAAAGTTTAGCATGCATTTTTTAATTTATTAAATACAATGTGTCATTGTAAACAAATTTGCAAGATGGTATCACATACAGGTACTTCTGCTCTCTCTAGTCTTTTTATCAGTAGTTCTTGGCTGTAAAGCTCTCTGAAATGTTTACAGTTATTGTCAAGTTTTCAAGAGCAAATGAACTCTGAAAATTCTGATTTATACCTAAAGTGACTGTAGATGTGACTATTCCACTGTACTCATGACTGTTATTAATTTTTTCCGATGCAGGAGAAAGTTGTAACTGTCTCCCAGATAGACTTGGTCCCAACTCTTTCTCTGCTGTTGGGTTTACCCATTCCATTTGGAAACCTGGGTACCATCATACCTGAGTTGTTCTGCCACAGAAGCACTTTGGATATTCTGTCTAATCAAACAAGTAGTGAAGATGACCTAAATGCACAGCAAGTACTGGAATTGCTTCAAAGAAACAAAGCTTTTGAACTGAATGCCAAGCAAGTACACAAATATCTCACAAAGTATGCTTCGATTTCGGGAGATATTCCTAAGGAAAGACTAGAAGAGCTTGGAAAGATTTTGCACAATGCAACTACGCTGGTCTCTGAAGTGAAAGATTTGGTTGACAACCTAGGGGGGCATGAGGAAATGATCAGGAAAGCTTCTGGAGAAGAATTGAAGAATCTCAATGAAAAATTATCGTCTGCTGAAGAATTTCACAGTGACTATTTGTCTGGTGCAAAAGTCCTGTGTCGGTCGATGTGGGCAAAGTTTGATTTGAATTCTATATTTACGGGTATTTCCGTGATATCTGTGGGTGTGGCTTTAGTTGTTCTAGCCCTTCTTAATTTCAGTGAAAACCGGTTGTCTCTTTTGTTTTTAGTCCCGTTGATTGGGTTCGTTATCGCATCTGCAGCAACATCCTGCGACTTCAATGCCATTATCATAATACCGTTATATGTAGCATGTGCACTTCTGTTGGCACTTTTTGTTTTTCTTCAGAAGAAGTTTATGAAATATACCCAAATAACTGTAAGCAGGTTTTACAAAAAACTGTCAGTAGTCAACATTTTTGCTGCAGTGTTATGTTTACTTCAGTGCTGGGCTTCATTTTCAAACAGTTTTGTGGTGAACGAGGACAGGCTGACTGCATTTTTTATTCAATCATTGATTGGAGTAAATTGTGTCCAAGCTATGTGGAAAATTTGCCCTGGCAATAGCAGGAATATCGTAATAAGACATCATTTTAGAAGATTTGCCAAAAAGGACGACATGAAGAATATTTCAGGATTCATCCTCCGATTGTTAATAGCGTGGATAGCATTTGATATTGTCAGCAGAACTGCCATAATATTACGAGCTTGTCGAGAAGAGCAGTGGTCTTGCGTACAAACCGATCTCCTTAAACCTCAGTCGAACTCCGCCGACAAGACCACCTTGGAAAGCAATCGATTTATTTTGACCGTTTTATGCACTGGCACTATTCCTTTTTCAATTCATCAGTGGCTTCGTTATCATGGAAATTTAAATGGCACAACGTTTATTGTTCTTTGTGTGAGGTATACTCTTCCCTTGGCCTTCTTCTTTATGTGCATTCATTGGATGCTGCAGATCGTTCCACAAGAGATGGCCGCCGTTTTTCCAGAAATGCAGCTGTGGCAACAGATAATCTTTCCACAGATCGTCTATTCTCTGTGCATGGCGACAATCGCATGTGTTTTGTACTCACCCTTATATATCTATACTGTCTTTAAAAACGGAAGAAATTCTCTCAACGAGGGAGTGAAATCCTTGCAAGAAACAGGTGATAATTCCAGAATTATCCATGCTCTGGTTCGTGAAGTAAAGCAGAATTGGGAGAGATTGGACGTAAAGAAAGTCAAAGTGTGCGAGGACGATACAAACACACCCATGGTGTATGGTCTTGGAACAGTTTTTTCGTCGGCGATACTGGTTCTAATTGTTGCTGTTGGGTTGCCTTTAATGATGTTGTTGGGCAACGGAATGGCTTTGTCCATTTCTCTGATCCTTTTCCAGATGTATTTGCAGTTGGAGATTCACGGATTGAGCCACGATGCAGAACTTGCTAACGGTGGAGATAGAAACTCCGGTAAGTGCTTCGTACAATTTGCGTTCAGTACTAGCAAAATCGTGGCAACTGCTCGATTGTGGGTTCGAATTTTCACCCATCTTCGAAAATCTCGAAAATTGGACGAAAACATTAAATCATCGGTATGGTTAAGATTTGAAAACATAGCTGACACCGGCAATAGTGTCTCACTCAGAGATTCTGGCCGCGTTCCATCTCGTTGCTCAAACCAAGATCAGTGTAAATGGAGAGAGAATGTAAATTCCTTGTCACTTAAACTGCGGCTTGGAAATCGTTATCGTTCACTTGTTTGCAGTACTTGAAGCATTGAAAATTATTTTTCTCCGATATTAATCCGCAGTTCGCGAGAAGTCTGATTGCTTTACTCAGAAGACAAGACTTCAACGAGAACCAGTTCTGTTTGTTCCCTCAGAATTGATTCGTTGCATTTACGGACAGGACAGTCCAACCAACCAGTTCGCACAAATTGATAGCGAATTATGGTGGCTTCCAGTCACAGGAGTATCATTTCTAACCAAAAGTTTTCTTTTTCACTTATTTGCAGACACCTCATTCAGCATGGTAGTCGTGTGGTATTTCATGTCCTCATATTACTTCTACTGCACTGGTCACCAGGCCACCATCCCGTCCATCCGCTTTGAAGCTGCTTTTGTCGGCTTTCCTGGAGACATGGAAAATCTTGTGATACCAGGTAAGGCAAAGACCTCAAAATCTGTCTCATGCTAATTGCTTTTGGCACCAGAAAAACTCAGTCAATTTACGGTGATTTTAATCGTTTCTTTCTCTTCAACAGCAAAGTTGAACCTCTACCTGACCTCAACCTCCTTAAAATGGAGCCGTTTCTTGATTTTCTTTGGTTTGTTTGTTTTTCTTACGGCCGACGGTTTAAACATTTTAACCTCCGCACAATGGCTGCCTTATCTTCATGGCAACGCCCTATTAAGCGTGTTCCAATTGCATATTTTAACCAAAAATCTAACTGCAGACGTTTGAAATTAGACGAATCATTTTTGTTGTTACTTTAGGCGAAAGTATTCTTTACTGTGTTAGTGTATTTTCCTTTTTTTACTGATAACTTCTTTTTATTTTCATTTTGAGGTCTCCTTATACTTCTGAATACTTTCTCCAGTGCAGTCCTTTTCTCCTTGGGTCTGCCGCTCCTCTTATTTTGGCCTCAAATACAAAACAGGCTCCTGGCAACTCGTAACAAAAATCGCCCTCAGTCAAGCAAAGGAGAGTTTGATTGGATTGAAAGTCCTGAACTGTTGAGAACTCGGATGTTTCGGCTCTTAGTCACCTACCAGACTCTCCATGGCCTCAAGGTTAGTTTTAGCATAGAACTCAAAACTTTTCTTGCACAGGCGCTGGTCAATTTGATCGAACAGTTGGTTCAGTGTCAATATCTGCGCACCTACTCCTCTCTTCCCCCAACCCAGCAAGAGTCAACTGACAACAATTTAGAGTTAATATTAGGTTCGGGAAGAGCAGCTGCGCGGTTCCTTAGATTCAAACAGTGATCCAAACGGTCAAATTGATAAAAGGCTGATAGTTTCTAAAGAAACTGTTTGGGGCTGCGTCGGTGGGGGTAACGAAATAATTTGAATATATCAACAAAGTTGAAATGGTAAAATGGCCACCGTTACGATTATAAAAGCTGACGTTTCGAGCGTTAGCCCTTCGTCGTAACGTCGGTCAAATTGATACTCGATTCTGAAGCGACAACGCTGAGAAAGACGTCGATTTAAAAATGAACTTACTTATACATTTGACTGAAGAGTTTCGCGGGAGGCTTGGATTTTTAGGCGTGAACGTTTTTGCTGTTGCTGTTCTTAGAGTAGTAATTCTGTGCCTGTTGAACCCTGTATATCTTATCGTCAGTATGCATATTCTCCATACTGTTCTCTAAACATTTCCTAAGGTGCTGACAAGGAGAATTTGTTTAACAATCAAGAGCTTCTTTAGTTGGTGATCGTGTTCTTTATTCTTGTGACCTCAGTGGTGAAATTATAAGGAGAAACGAGATGTTAGTCACTGTTCGGGTTCAAAGGGGTGACTTTTATTTCCTTCTCTATTTACTTATAATGCATTTATTTACTTATTGATTGTTTCTTTATTTTTGTTTTTTGTTTTTTTTGTTTTTTGTTTTTTTTTACAGCTCCTGGCCACTTGTTGTTCTGCAGCTGTCCATCGCCGCCATCTTATGGTGTGGAAGATTTTTGCGCCTCGATTTGTGTTTGAAGGTGTCTCGTTCCTTTTACTCACCATGGTTTTGTGCCTCAGTTATCTTGTGGTTCTCAGGATTGATCAGTCTTTGCGAAGCTGGTTCAAGAATCTGGAGGAGTCACATGACTGGAAAGCGAAGAACACATAACTTCCTGTTCTCAAAAATCATTAGAACGAAGTATTTTTTGACCTGACTTTCCCACCGGAAACCTGAGGATCAGTAAATAATGAATGAAGTTAACGAATGTTTAATTTAAAAAATTTGAGAACATTTTTCGCCAGAAATAAATTTTGGTTGCTAGAAAAAGAAAGTACTCAGTTTTTGTGCAATATTGCAATTGACTTGGGACAAATGTTTTTATCACGTGAAGTCTCGACCATGAACACTAAGAATGAAAAGGATACAGCTTGCAACATAACCTTACATAGGTCACTCGATTTTTTTTTTTTTTCCACTTGTTATGGCGAACAAAATTGTAGCAGCCTGGAACACTTGCGTGTTGTTTTAGTCGTATTATAGAACTTTCCTCAACATCTTGACTATGAATCAAGTCAGATTGTTATCGAAAACTCTCTCTCCATAATCAGCGCTATAATTATCCTAGCTAATATATTATACAATACATTTTTAATTTCAATTGCAGTTGATAAATTAGACTACGAGCAGCAGTTCCTTTTCGGCGAAATCTGTCGCGCGAGTAACAAAAAGTCAGCCGAAACATAAAATTAATGTTAGCGAGCCGCGCAGGACTCGTGGAGGTGAGGCGCACGAACGGTAGGTGACTGGCGATAGATTTCTTCGGAAATGCTTGTTGTTAAGTGACAAGTCTTTAACTGCAATTTCTAGTGGGTATCGACGAGGCACCAGTGAGAGTTCTTATTTTCGTCTTTTTAGTTTTCGTTTGTTATACCGCTTGTAGGTATCGAACAGGTGTACTTTTAATGTAGGTTTGGACATCCGGTATCCTTCAGCGGCTCTGATCCTCCATGCCACCTGGGTTCAAGCATACGGTGAACAGTCTCGGGCACAATGCATCCCCCTGTGGTAACCCTCTGTTGAACTTAATCCTTTGGGAGGTCTGTCTCCCTTCCCTTGTGATCGCCACTACCTTTGTGTTTTAACTCTTACACAGTTAAGCAATGACTTTACACATTATTATTATTATTATTATTATTATTATTATTATTATTATTATTATTATTATTATTATTATTATTATTATTATTTGTGCCTAGATTGCCAGTGGAACCAATAGAACCCGGCATAATCCCAAACGTTTAAAGACTTATGCTAGAGTTACCTGCGAATTTCATTCACAGTTTTTTGAAGAACCATGTTCATGTTATTCCTTGATTGTATGTTTTTCTTGACCTACAGCCAAATGTCTTGAATGTAAAGATGCAAATGAAAGTGGAGATTTACTCTAACGAAGGAACCTTGATAAGTTGTATTGCTGAGGAAACCAAACTCTATGCAAAGCAATAAACTATACTGATATACTTGTAGAGGCACATTTTTCTCCTTAATTCAAATTTTATTGTCCTTTCCTTTAAACTCGTTATTATACCTTACCCTAACCAAATCGAAGAATGATGAACTTTAAACCGAGGATAAAAATGTGAAAAAGATGTTTATCTGTACAGCGTAATCCTTAAGAAAGCAATTTAAGGAAATTCAGAGCGGGTCGTCATCTTTCTACAGTTTTGAAGGCTACACTAATAATGCAGGATAAAAGATAAGTAGTTAGTACTTCCCTCATTTTGTTTTTCGCTCATTTTATTGATTGAATGGCAGTAACAAGCTACCCTTCACAAACCCTATTCCGACCTAGAGTTTTAGCTTAGGAAGTTTGCTTCTAAGGGAATGAGAAGTCAGTATACCAAACAACGTGGAAGCGAGATGGAGCGTTGCGTGACGAGACTAAAAACGGCTGCGAGGGAGACTATATAACCATTAGCGCGACAGGTTGATTCCCCTTGTACCTGCTTTGTATCCATGGTAACTGGAGTTAAATCGAGGTATTGATTATTTTGTCACTTCAGCAAAGAAGTAAACGTCGCTTTGTTTTTCTTTCCCATCATGTTTAACTCAAAGTGCATCAAAATAACAAGCTTAAGGGCCCATTACTGCATCCTGGCTGTTGGTCTTATTGCGGTTTCCATTTTATATACCTTGAGAAATCTGCTGAAAGAAACAAGACTTGAAATGGTTACAATTAGTGTTTTATGTTTCGGCGACTCGCTTACCGCAGGCAGTATGGACACGGGTTATACATATCATCCTTATTCTACAAAACTGCAAGAGTACTTTAATGTTCGCGACTGGAAAGTGCTTGATGAGACCGTACAACCCATCTTCAAAGTTTACTCGGCAGGGTTACCGGGTGAAAGAGCGAAAGACCAGATGTGACCGCGTTTGAAACAACTTCTTCAAAGTTCAAACATAACATTTAACTGGGTGGTCATTCTTGGAGGAACAAACGACTTAAAAAAGTATAAATGGAATTTTTCATTCGACTTTGACGATACAATTTCGATTTTTAACGCACTGGTAAAACTTCATAATGCATCTCATACCTTTGGAGCAAGATCAGTAGCTGTCTCTATTCCAGAGGTAGAATGCGAGGTATCGGAAACTTGTCCTCATTTTAAGAGAGCGCGTAACAAGATCAACGAGCTTCTCCGAAGTTTCGCCGCCCGTAACAAGAGGAATATGGTTTTAGCCGACTTGGCAAATGAGATTTTGTATCGTCCCCGCGATCAGAATCTTTGGAGTGGTCCAGTTCATTTCTCGGCGCAGGGTTACGATAAAATGGCAAAAGTTATTTACAATTCGATGAAAGATCACGTATGACTTGCTACTAGGAAAAGTTAAGAAAATCAAATTAAGTCATAACAAGAGAATGTAAGCAATTTATATTCCCTTGGTCACAGATATTAATTTAGGAAGATAAATTACCTTTAAAATAATTTTAAATTCTTTTAAATTCTCTTTTAAATTGGCTGAGACAGAGGCCATTTTTCGTCACTAAGACCTAGAGAACGCGATCGTCGCTGGTGCGGTATTGACTTCACCATCCTCCTTTACCTCTTTATATAATTTTTTTCGACCCGTTTCGGCAAGAATCCTGCCATTCAAACATTTCCGTATCTGCTTTCGAGAAGTAAAACGTTCCATTTTTGTATTTCAAGCAACCACTTCCTCTGCAAACCGTTGAGGTACCCGGCAATTTGGAACGCTCTTGGCGGCCATGTTTGTTTACAACTCACCCACGGATGCGATCACGCGCGTCATCGCGTATTTCCTCTCGCGAGTAATTTGCTTGCGTGTACCTTGAAAGCCAATCTCCGCGCGGTGAAAAAAAACCCTTCTGAGCCTCCATAAAGTATTACACTTTCTTCGATGGCGAATGTTTATTTTTTTCTTTAGCAGGGCTTGTTTCATTGCTTTAGCGTTGTTGTACAAAAATACGATTTCATAAAGAAAAATAAATTTGACCCCTTATATCAAAAAAAAGAGTAATTGCACATTTCCTTGTAAAATTACAGATTGATATAATTTGTGCTTTAAAAAGTTGCTGTAATTGCCCTCGTCGCTGTGGGAAATTCCTTAAACTTCTTAAAACAGAAATCATATTAATCCTTGATTTTATTCGGCCCCACGTGATTACCTATACTGATGAAGTGGCTGCAGGGTTTTGAAGTAGCGATGCAGCCTATTAGCGGGGTTGGCCAACGCAGCGGTCAAATGATTGCACATGCGCACATAGACGCATAATTTGCTATTGTAAACATGGAGAATCTAGGTGAGAGGTAGTTTTTCACAGTTTCTAAGGAAAGTTTGAAGTTTCTAAGGCCGAGACTTATACACATTGTCGTTCTAGACTTCACCCGCATTGTGCTAGTTTACACTCTCGTCCTTTTTTTGACCCTATGCAAGGCGGCCTGATGAAGTATTTCGTAACTTTGCCCATGCTGGCATACGCATTAGTGATTCTTTGTTGTGTTCATGGTGGAGTTGCCGCAAAACGCCGAGGGGAATATGTGGAAAAAGGGAGAACGTGAGCCAAGATATTTGTGGCGACACGGCAGGTCAATGTTTATCGCGGACAGAACGCTGTGCAGCTGAAGGGTAGAAGAAGGGTTCCGTCATTTGCCTTAAATCTCCTTTCAAAATCATTCTTTCATTTTTCTTTCCCATTGGAATCGTCAGGAATTCAGTAAACCTTTTCTTCCTCACTTAACGCTAGATATGCGCTCGGAAATCCCTCTTGTTGTTTTCAAACTCTCGTGCATGCGCCGTGTTTGACCTCTGTGAAGGATTGGTCTTTTCTGATGTTCCACCCTCACACTCAGTAGAGCATGTGGAATATAGAGGGGGTTGTTACCTGTGTTCTCAGCAAGAAAACGTGAACACTTACAAGGTTCAAAGTGAATCGTGTGCAGGATTTTTAGTGTAATTTTAACAGCTGAATTTAATTTCTAAAAAGCAGTCAAAGATAAGATGAAATATCATGCAATCCACTTTATTTCCTGACAAGAATTACTTTTAACTTCTTGTCTTTAACTCCATTTCCAGGCATGAAATGCGCTTTTTGCTGTCTTCATCTCTCACTTTTGCTCGAATTTTGTACCTTCCCTGGAAAAGAAGAAACGATAGACGAGTTCGGACATGCCTTTTTAGAGTTGTGGCAAATAATTATATTTAGTATAATCTAAAACAGTGGATATCCTTTGCAATTCAACTCCGAAGAAGTCACGCGAGATTTACAGCCGAAAATATCTGGTAATCTTTGCAGATGTGAATGAGTTAAAATTATCTTTTTTGTAATTTTGAATGACGCTGCGTTATATTTCAGGTGTGGCAAACTATACAACACGCCATATTAGTTCAGTTTCGAAGTAACAGTAATAATCAAATAGAAAACTTAAAAACTTACATTTTTTAGGAACGATGGAATGGGAATGTCGGGCAGAGAGTGTGTTTGTTGTTTAACCTCGTAATTGCCTGGCGCCAGTGGGCACTGTGCCCCCTGCAGAAAGTCAACCAGCTCTTCGCATCTAATGGACCGTGTGCTTTAGGCAACACCAGTTTAGAAAGAAAGAAGAACGCTAAATAGAAGCCGGTTATTATATATCTCCTGGGGGGGAGGGGTACATTTTCGTCTTTCCGCGAAAAATTTACCTGACCCCCCATAAAGCTCTGCAATATTCCGCTTCCCTCCCTCTCTCCTATTATTGACAGCTAATAGGCAGTCAGTTTTCTATGATCCTCCTCTGTTACCGATGGCTGATCCCTCTCGGTTCTCCCACATTAAAACCACGTAATCCCTCAAAATCCTCCCATCCCCTTCCCCCACACACACACATACCCCTCCGGCGATAAAAATGACAGCCCTCTTAGTTTACATAATAATGATCATCTGCTTGCATTGAAAACAGAGAGAACCTGGAGAAAAAAGATCCAGGTTTTGTTGGATGATACATAGGGTAGAATAAGGGAAAGATGGTTGTGTTAATATGTGATATCGATTGCCATGTACTTTTGCTTGTATCTACTTTTTTACATGTCTATGGGCTATCTTCATGAATTACGCCCATAGCCTTTGTATGAAAATGAGCATAAACACATTGTGAGGATATGAAAAAGATTCCATGGTAACACCAAAACAATAAAACCAAAATAAAAGAAAAAGTTCGGAAGTTTAACTAAAAACCCTACCACATCCCAAAACAGGGGACCTGAAACCATCCTATTACTGGAACCTTTTTCCATACTGTGGCATCAATCTTGTATTTTGTTCCCACTTTTTCACCTACATGAAACTTTCCTCCCAACGTAACTTTTTGTCCTTTCCTGAGCCTCAGGGGATGCGGGGAGAGGCTCAGAGAATCCACCCTCAGGGGCAAGTTGTCTTCTATCATGCAAGATAAAAATTAGGTGAGATAAAGAAAATATACAAAATCAATGTTTTGCAGCTATTGAAACCTCCATATATGCAGTGGGCGAATTACAACTGTAGGAATAAGGTTGTTCTGCTGCACGAAATGACGAGAGAAAGAAATAGGAAAAAGTCAATCAGATCTAGAAAGACAGTTTTTAAATGTAATGAAATTCATTCCAGGGAAATTCCACCGCGGAAAAGGGGAAAATTTCTCCCACATGATTTAATTGAACAAGAAAAAAATAACCAAATATCGTGTACACATTGAAATATTTCAGAAAATCGTGCAATTTCCCTCACAAAGCAATCACGGCCAAGGTTAATATGTGTACGGCAAAAAGAAAAAGACTCACGGCAAAAGAAATGACCTCGCGCCATGCAAAAGAAAAAAATTACGGCAAAAGGAAGATACTCAAGGCACAAGAAATAACTCGTCTCAGCCCCAACACTCTCTTTTATGTTGTGAAGACATTGTTATTTCTTTTCCCGCGGGGTTATTTCTTTTGCCGTGAGTCTTTTTCTTTTTGCCGTGAGACTTTTTCTTTTCCCGCGAGGTTATTTCTTTTCCCGTGAGTTTTGGGCCACCGTAAAATATGAAATGGCTGAAATTTCAAGAAAAATACCTTGTTATAGAATTACTAAAAATACTGAACACGCGATTCTTTATTCAAAAAAAAAAAACCTTATGCTTTCTTGGGTAAATAGGAAGAAAAACGATCAAACAGTTTATAGCTAAGTATTGATTTTGAAATCTAAGAGCGGAATTGTGGGCCAACATTCCCTTATGATTGACCCTAGTCAAAAGCTCTAGCCTAACTAGTGTCGACAAATGGTATATACGAAAGTTTTTTAGAATTCCCAGGTCTTGACGAAGTAGATCAATGGAGAAGGGAGTTGAGCGGCCTACACCACTCCAGTAATATTCTTGAAGTACTAACTTATAAGTTAGATACAATGAATATATGAAGTTCATATATTTTTAACTACGGTATTAGACACGTATGATGCACGATCCTCGCAGTAAAGAGCGCTATTTATGTAATAGCTAAAATCAGACCTGAAAAAAATCAGGCCTGTACGGGATTCGAACCACTGACCTCTGCGATACTAGTGCATATATTTTGAACTTCATATATTCATTGTATCTGATTTATCATCACGGGTTTATTACGAATCAACTTAACGGCCTGCTCCCAGTTGGCTTGTTATCTTAATTGGTAGAGTGCTGCACTAGTATCGCAGAGGTCAATGGTTCGAATCCCGTACAGGCCTGATTTTTTTCAGGTCTGATTTTCGCTATTGCATAAATAGCGCTTCTAATGCAAGGATCGTGCATCATACATAACTTGTAAGTGTTCTATACCTAGCTCTTATTCTTGTGATTGCATGGTTATCCTAACTAAGACTTTGTTTGAGTTCCAAAGCAACGTTTGTTCTAAGATATGTGGTTCTCTGAATTTTTTTGTCAATTTTCCAACCCGCAAGCTTGACAACAAATGACTTTTTCCCAAGAATATGTCACTTAAAATTAATGTGAGACTTTCTAAACAGTTTTTCAAGAAATCCGGCTGCATTCCGAAAGCGACCGCAACCGTCAAAAAGGACACTGGAAGATCTGTGAAATTGCTCCAAAATTACAAAACCCGTAGTTTTTTTCGATGGATCTTTCGTCACCACTATACTCCAACTTGTGAATCAGGGCTTTTCCCCCTAACAGTCTGATTTGCAGATCTTTCGTCATTATTACACTCTAACTTGTGAATCAGGGCTTTTCTCCCTAACAGTCTGATTTGCAGACCTTTCGTCATTATTATACTCTAACTTGTGAATCAGGGCTTTTCTCCCTAACAGTCTGATTTGCAGATCTTTCGTCATTATTATACTCTAACTTGTGAATCAGGGCTTTTCTCCCTTACAGTCTGATTTGCAGACCTTTCGTCATTATTATACTCTAACTTGTGAATCAGGGCTTTTCTCCCTAACAGTCTGATTTGCAGATCTTTCGTCATTATTATACTCTAACTTGTGAATCAGGGCTTTTCTCCCTTACAGTCTGATTTGCAGACCTTTCGTCATTATTATACTCTAACTTGTGAATCAGGGCTTTTCTCCCTAACAGTCTGATTTGCAGATCTTTCGTCATTATTATACTCTAACTTGTGAATCAGGGCTTTTCTCCCTTACAGTCTGATTTGCAGACCTTTCGTCATTATTATACTCTAACTTGTGAATCAGGGCTTTTCTCCCTAACAGTCTGATTTGCAGGTTGAAAATACTCTGGAATCAATTATTTTGAGAACGGCGAGAGATTCTTAATACCTCAGAATGATCGAGGATCGTGAACTTCCAGGAGTAAATCGAAGAGAAAAAAAAAACACAAAATAGAATCAAACACAAACTGTAGAGACGTACCGCAATGTTTCCATTTAAAGGCGTCAACTGCAAAAGCCAATGCCATAAAAATGAAGATTTTTTTGATAGCCATTTTGGTTGTGTTTTCACTTGGAAAACAATACGTAATGATTTACAAAAACCTAACTACGTCTTACTTATAGCAATGATCAACAGCATAAAATATAAGAACAGCAAAGAAGTATCCATCCCTCAGAGCAAATATTGCTGCCAGCTTTCTGTGATCTGACGTATCTCACCTGAGAAAACTTGCTCTTATAATTCATTACTGCAAGCGAACCATTATAATTACTGTGTAAGCACACCTTTAAGTCACATTTTGATGCAAATCAAATACTTAAAGACGAACAAAGAAATCTCTTACGACGAGGAATAAGGTCCTCTCACCATACTAAACTAAAAGAAAACAGTTTTGCCGGTAAATAACACAAACCTTTCTTTACAGCGTTGAGACTCTTAAAAATGCCCAAGTGATCCCTTTCTAGGACAAATCTACCCGTAACTTTGAAGTAATATTCGGCAATCGCTTTAAAATATTCCGTTAAACAACCATATTGATTTACTCGTCATTTGTCGTATTTTTTCAGCTTCACTTATTTCTTACAAACGTGGGCAAATATTTTATAGATACACGTGTGGTAAATATATTCCCTTCCTTTCTGGTCTGAAATTAGCCATAAGGCTCTCTGCTTGTAGCGAGTTATTGTGTGAGGATTTCCATAACAGCAGATCCCATGCGTCTAACATTTTTTTGTTTTTGTTTGTTTGTTTGTGTTTTTTTTTTTCATCTTTTCTTTTCTGTTTTCTTTTCAAAAAGAAGGTATAGATAGTTTTCACTCACGTGACCAAAACCCTGACAACAGTTGCTACGCCGCCATATTCGTATACAGATATCGCATGCAAATCTACTGCGTCCTTTGAAAGAGGATGGTTTTGTGCTTGATTGTCTGCTGTGGAAATAGAAGTGGAAGGAATAAAGGATTATATTTTGCTAAAGTACCTTCGATAATTGAAAATCAAGGAAATGAAGCCAGAGAATTGTCAGCAGAAAGAAAATCGCGCTGGATTTCTGCTATTAGCAAAGATGATCTCACCGATACCATTTTGAAAAACGATCGCGTGTGTGAGAAACACTTTGTTTCTGGAAGTCCGCAAAATCATGGGATAAATTTAACATTGATTGGGTCCCAACTCTAAATTTAGGACATAATAAGGAGACTGGCCGTACGGATCGAGAACAAGCAGCAAAAAGAAGAGGGCGAGGGAACGCGAATTGGTGAAGAAGCCGGCGTTTGCCAAACGGGTGAAAGTACTAGAGTCTGAGAGGGAGGAGAAGTTTTTCAAATTTAGCGAATCGGGGCAGCAAAGTTTAGATTTAAACTTCGAAGGTAGCGAAGCAGAAAGTCTAGATAAGCCCCCAGAGAACGGCACACAAACTGACTCAAGAATGTTTGTTTACGTCGGCACGCAATCGGAAGAGTTTGCGTGCAAGCAAGTTTTTAATTTATCTTCGTCCACGCTTCTATGTAAAATAAAACGCTTGCAATATGCGAGCATGATTCAGCTAGCCCGGCCTTACAACCTTGGCAATGAGCGGGTAAAATTGTCCCCTCCTTTTCTGCTATAATCCAGATAGGGATCAAAGAGTCATTCATTCTTTGCGAATGTCTCACCTTGCCTAACACAACAAATTTACGGTTTGCGATTATGTGGCCTTTTACGCTGGTTATAAGTCCCGAAACCATCTGATTGTTGGCTTCTAGGCTTCGGAAAGCCTTAAGCTGTTGTTGCGTGTAGAAGCTCGTCTCCAAACCCAGATAGAAAAGGAGATCTGTATATTCAACTGGAGGCAAGCAGTCTGGTTGAAAATTCTTACTCTAAATAAGGACAGGATAGATCCCAATCGCCGTAATTTTTTCCAAATAACGCTGCCTTACTCGTAGTTCTAGCTTCTTGGCGTACTCAGAAAGAGGAGGATGGATAATGATATCAGTATTGGCACTTAATTTTGCTTCCGTTGCTATAGTATTCATTTTTACAGGCAGAAATTGTTGATGTACTTATTATTTGCATATATTACTCTGCATGTATTACCCTGGGTTGTACACAAATATGGCGACCGGAAATGATGTGACGTCACGTGAAAACGATCTATTCAATCTTACATTCATCGATTAAAATTTGTCTAATTTTACAACAGAAATTTCAGATAAAAATGGGGGACAAAAAGATTTGATGAAATAGTTCACGGAGACATTATCAGGAGGGGAGGTTCTTGATTGTTCATGAATTGGTCTTGTTCAAATATTCTATGCAAGATTTATCTTACTTGGGCACAATCGAAAAGTCAAAGGTGATTGCATGGTGTTTTTTTTACTAAGCGACTACTTCCTTAAAGCGAGCACTCTATTGATAACCGTTTTATTTTCTCATTCAAATCTAGCTTCCAAAACTCTCTGGTAAGCTACCTTTGCTCGACTTCTTAAGCGACCTCAAATATTTTCGAGGTCCGAGATTCCTTCGCTTTCTTTTTAAGATAAGTCACCATGCAAAGAAGCTTTTGAAATCCTTTTATTACTGAAGTACCAGAGATCTTTTCTGAAGAGCAAAATTGATATAACATATTCATAGCATGTGATAGCATTCATGTAATATCATGCGTCGTAAAAAAAAAAACAAGAAAAAATAAGCAAAACTTCTCGAACACTTCTTCCTGCACCAAGGTGGTCGATCGCACGGTGAGTTGACTGCATTCGCCGCGTATGGTCTTTTCCCGTTAAATAACCTTTTGCATTTTTCTCCGAAATACACGCAACGCCCCTTTCGCTACATGACCTTGCTACTGGTGATGCCTTACACCACAGTGATGGGGCATTACTGAGAGACGATGTTCCTCCAATTAAGACTTACCACCTGGAAGGGTTCATTCTTTTCACACTCATTCGAACCACTCAGGTCAGTGGTTCGAATCCCGTACAGGCATGACTTTTTTTCAGGTCTGATTTTCGCTTTTACATAAATAGCGCTCTCTACTGCGAGGATCATGCATCATACGTATCTACAACCGCAGTTCAAAATATATGAACTTCATATATTCATTGTACCTGATTTATCATACACGGGTTTATTACGAATCAACTTAACGGCCTGCTCCCAGTTGGCTTGTAAGCTCAATTGGTAGAGCGCTGCACCAGTATCGCAGAGGTCAGTGGTTCGAATCCTGTACAGGCCTGATTTTTTTTTCAGATCTGATTTTCGCTATTGCATAAATACCGCTCTCTACTGCGAGGATCATGCATCATACGTAGACTCATTCCATGTTGTTGTTTTTGTTGCTTTCGGCATTAAATTCAAAAGCAATGTTACCAGTTTAAAACTGTTTTAAGGACATATAAAAATAGTATAAAAACAGCCAGTTGTCTTAAACAGAGTATAAAGGGAAGATTCGTGAAAATTGACTGTTAATTAACTTCCAATGAGAGGGTGGAGGGGGTGGGGGGTAATCATAGAGATATTAGGTTCGAGATTCGATGTTCCGGGGTTTGTCGTATTAGTAAATCAAGCAATAGGATACAAATTCCCCTTAACATTGACTTTATTTGAGTCTGTTCTTTCATCCCAAGAAACAATTTTACTTTCTTTGACTAACATTAACTTTATTTTAGCCACTTCTTTCATTCCGAGAAGCATTTTTACTTTCTTTATCTCGCTGTCAACACGAAGCATCCATACAGTCCCCATCCAGTCAATCGTGCAACAATCTTGAACTGTCCCTGGAAAATCGAAGAGAAATAGCAGCATTTAGTAATGATCTTTGTATATGTATAGCCGAACCCATATTAAGCCGTGCCGCATTTTGCAATCATCCTGTATAAGTGATCGGTTATCGAATGACCGAGTTTTTTCCCGTAGTTCACTGTAATTTTCTCTTTTATTAAGCGGTCATGGTCACTCTTTACTGAGTCCCGACGGCTTTTTTTGTAATCAGTGACCTCCACCTGTTTTGAACAATCAGTTAAAACAAAACCATTCGAATCAAATAAATTATTTTATAACAGCCGCAGATTTTCTTCGTGTTACCATAGCCTCCTCTAAACACTCAAGAGTTGGGAGTTGCGTAACAGTCTCAAGTTCTTCCAATCTGCGTCGGGAAATTGAGAAAAAAGTGAAAAATGCTAACTTTCTAACCGTTTTTACTCTTGCCAGCACCTTCCCCAACCGAAGAGAAACACGACGCCATCTACTTTTAATCGTCTTTAATCCTGGCTGTAAATGGGGTGTGCATCTTGCTCCATATAAGACACTCGCAATGGCGTTGCATTTCAACCGACGATTGCTTCAGAAAAAAAAAAAAAAAAATTTAAAGGAAAATTAGTACAAAGTCAAAGTCAGCCATTAGTTGAGGTAAACTAGAAATAAAGTCTGAAACTTTTCCCGGTTTCCATGTTGCAGGAAACAAGTTGTGATTACGATGGGAAGCTAATCCATCGCAAGGTTACCCACAAGGCTTCTGTCTGTCCCTCATCAGTTAGTTAATTTGATTTAAAATCAAATTAACGAAGTCCTGGATACAACTCAGAGAGCACTTAGACTTTGCTGCAAAGGAGAATAACTGTAGATGCCCTTTATAGATACTGCTCGTCGCGCATTTCACGTCCCACACTTTCATCGATAAGTAACAATATGATTACTACAATCGCTGGTGAGACGACAAGGTTGTAGAAATGTACAGTACTTGTAATAGAACTGCAAAGTTGTAAATGTAGGTGTCAATGGGCTGATGGCTTTTACGGTTAACAGTTAAAAATTTTAGCTATTTTACGGCAGACGCTTAACCAAAAATGATACAAAACGACCTGTTAAAGAAGGAAAACTTTTACAGTTAACTTTATTTTACGACTAATGGTTAAAATTTGTCAACTTTTAAGCCTTAATGGCTGAATTTTTTTTGCCGTTTTACGGCTAACGATTAATCTTCTGAGAACCTCTTTAAAGGGGAAATCTCGTTATGGAGCAATTAGCGTCAAAATAGGTGGAATCTTGAGTAAGAGAAAAAGAATGGAATCAGGAGTT